ATGTTTACAGAAGGAGATAGAAATAGGAAAACAAGAAGTTAAATGTCTAGAATTTTGTCTGCAAGAGATGGAGACACTATGGGTGGAATTGGACCGTAGCTGTGAAAATATCCGTAAAGAAATTGAAGCATGCAAAAGACGTAAATTCCAACGTGATTCAAATAATTATACAACACTTTGCATGATTAACTTAGAATTATGGCTTGAAAATGAAACATCTTTGTGTGTATTCATTGCCTTTTTCATGTTTGATGTCATATTAAACCACCATGAGGCACTATTGCAGAGTACGGAGGATTATTCTAATAAATCATACTAATTAGAAGTGGTCATGGTGCTAGGAGCCTGCTTCAGCATGAAATACTGCACATACAACGAAAATGCACTTTGGTGCCAGAGGTGTAACTCCACCTCCAGTACCATCACCAGCAGTTCAGAACAAGCGCAAGCTGAGATGTGTAAAGCCAGATATCAAGTGCAATACAAGGCTTCGTGGCTGCTATTGGTAATTCTGTGCATGAAAGGCATCTGTAGTCAGCACGCATGGCATGCTGGTGACAGATGACCAATCGCTCCCCATTCTGTGCTGCTCATTTCTTCCCTTAGCCTGCCCATCGGACATCGCTCCTCCTACAGTGAGTGACATCACCAGGGGAGGATTAGGCAGGGAAAACGCAGCATGGGATCACAGCTAAATGTATTTTCTATTTGGAAAAGGCTACTACAACTAAAACGTGTGTTTGATTAAAAAACACTATTTTTAGTGGGGGTCATACTTTAATTTTTTATGTGTGGCCCCTTGCTCTTAAACTTCTTCATGGCTTCCATCCTGAAATCTAGTTCCTTTTTTTTCCCCTTGAAAATATGATTGAAACCAAACTTGAATCTGACATGCTTTTTTTTTTTTTTTCTTCAAGGGATTATTTTCTCTGCATCTTATTTTTATTAATCACAGTAGCAGGGCTGTTATGTCTTCTCATTACAGTTACACAGTAACATAGGTTGAAATAAATACTCAAGTCTATAAAGTTAAGCTTTTTCCACACGTCTGTTTCTACAGTTGATCAGAGCAGGCAAATAGCTCCCAGCCCATCTTGATGTAAATATAAATTTTGCTGTGACTTTAAAAACTGCAACCAGATTTATCTGGTAACATACCTATTATCTAATTTCAGTAATATTCTATGTGAATATTTTAAATAAAAAGATCTAGACATTGTATAAAAAGCTGTACAGACTCTGGTAGCATGGAATATATTTATGCTCATCACTTTAAAGATCCATTTCCTTTACTGTAGGTGTAATTTCTTTTCTTCAAGTCTAAATGGATTACATCTTGTGCTTTAGTGAACATGTTTCCAGGGAACTATTGTATATAAATGTTATCCTTTCTCATTAGACATTTTTGTTTTTCTAAAGTTAGCCATATTATTATTTTTGTTGCCCACTTCTACAGTTTTAGTTCCATAATATCCTTTTTTAAATACATGTACCCAAAATTGCATCAAATATTCAATAGGTGAATCAATCTTACCTTTGATTTACAAACATGAAGAATTATAATGTCATCATGTGAATTAATATCCTTTGTTATGCATGACAATACCTAAATGATCTTTTCTCTTACAGTTGGATTTTAGCTTTTGCTTCAAATTAGTTATTGTTATATCATTACATAGCGAAAATATTGTTTCATATATTGTTTGTATACATAGTTAAAGGACCACTATAGGCACCCAGATCACTTCAGCTTAATTAAGTGGTCTGGGTGTCAGGTCCAGCTAGGGTTAACCCTTTTTTTTTTTTTATAACATAAACATAGGCGTGTATAACTAAAGCACTTCCTATGTTTATGTTAGGGTTAATCCAGCCTCCAGTGGCTGTCTCTTGACAGCCGCTAGAGGCTCTTGCGTGCTTCTCACTGTGAAAATCAGACGCCAGCGTCCATAGGAAAGCATTGAGAATCCTGCCGCGCATGCGCATTCAGCCAAAGAGGAGGAGAAGAGGGAGGAGGGGAGGAGAGGAGGAGGAGGAGAGCTACTTGCCCGGCGCTGGAAAAAGAGGTAAGTTTATCCCCTTCCTCTCCATCCAGCCCGGCGGGAGGGGGACCCTGAGGGTGGGGGCACCTTCAGGGCACTATAGTGCCAGGAAAACGAGTATGTTTTCCTGGCACTATAGTGGTCCTTTAAACCTTTAGAGACCATGTTTTAAACATGGGTTTAGATGTTTATGTGAAATTATTTATAATTATTTGACATTACTTTTATTTTCAGGTGTTGAATACAATCTATATTGCCTTTTGATTTTAATGTTTTCCCTTTTAGACCATTTTGAAATCCATTTTATCTCAAATCATAGATGTAAATCTATGATGTTACATTATTTATTTGTACTTCTTCAATTTTTCCCCTCTTTAATAATTAACATTTTTATATACACAGAGGATTTCATTATGCTTTATAATTCAATTCATTACCGAGTGTACAGAAGTAGTACTGGAGAAATTATGTATAAAATCTTTGTATGGAAAGGAAAATAAACAAAATAGTTGAACCAATATTAACAGAGTACATTTACCTGTATATAAAAAAAAAAAATACTCTACTGTGGAAGCAAAACGTCCCTTTTATTAATTTATTGTTGTTGTTCTGTAATTACAAAAAAACAAGTCCTGCGCTCAAACACCCACTAATCTTGGGTGGCAGCGGAAGCTCAAGGAAGCAAGGTGAATAGTCAGTGTAGGCAGTGATGTATCCTGGTTTTGTGCTGCCCCAGGCAAAATACATATAATTATTAACTCATTCTGAAGAGTAATTAAATCTCTTTTGATCTTACATATGAAATGAACAACCAAACTTTGTCACTTACACTCCACATATAGTACATTGTTACAATGAGAACAGATATCCAGTCTCTATGTTATGCACTATACAGTATATTGCATGAATTACATAGGAGTTTTATTTACCATCATACGTTTATTGAGTGCCCGTGTTTTAAAGTAACTTTGTCCCATATTTATTTTTCCATAACCCTCCACAACAAAAACTATTGTTGAACTAGGTTTTAATAAAATATATATCCACGTTTTAAACATATGAGTATTGAATAGAATTTTACCACATTACAGGAGGCTTTCTATTTTGCTTATCTTTCTTTACTAACTCCATATAGTAGCAAAGTCAAGTAAAGAGAAAACTGAGAACCAATCAAAAACAAGCAATGGATATAAGAGGTCTGCATAACTAAAGCACTTCCTCTTTCTTTGCTGCTCCATCACAAGTAAATTACAGAGTTTTGGCTCTCCTCTCTCTGTCTTTATTCATTACTTACTTATTACACTGTTTTCCTTATTGTGTATACTGCTTGTACTTGGTGTTTCACTTTCTTGGATACATAACCCTTGGGTGACCCCCCTTCTCTCTGTATTCCTTCTGGTGGGCCTTTATCCCTTTGGGTTTACATTCCCCCTTCCCGGGGACCCCGGTTTTCCCATGACTCCCTCCCTTCCCAGCTGGCTCTTTATCCCCGACCGAGACAATTTCTCTGCACGCACTCTGAAGCCTTAGCCACATTCGACAACTTCTGCCGAACGGCTATGAGCTTGCGAACGTTCCTTTAACGCGAACGTTCGCAGGCCGATTGCCTTTTTGCATGCGAACACGGGCATTTGTCTGTGAGCGTTTGCATGCACGAACCAAACGTCTCTGCATTCAGTACTTTGTTCCCTATCACTCACGGAAATACTGCCCTTCTCCCGCGCGAACAAGTTTAGCCGTTCACGAGCAGGCACCCCTTTTGCGAGCCAAACAACTGTGTCAGTAGTTTTCCCCCCATTCGCGCTTTCTCTTGGAAAACCCTCCTGAATGATTGGGAGGTACCTAGCTTCCCGCGGCTTCAAGTGGGCGGGCATCCCTTCTGCCGATCAGGCCTGTCCAACTGCCTAACGCCTGCCTATATACCACCCCACTGGTCCCTAGGCCTCTACTACCCTCAGTGCCAGTTCCACTTGCCCTCACACTTACTGTCCTTGGGTGAGCCAAATACTACGCCCATTACTACGATGGCAGAGTATCAGGGGTGGCAGTCTGGAGACCAGGACCTAGTATGCCTGAAGATGGTAGGAGTTACAGTGTGGAAATGAACAGTCAGGGTTTGGTGCAGGGTAACCACACGCCCCCTTGTGTTAAGCACCAAGGTTTGTGCAGCCACATACCTGTGCCCTGATGCAGCTTCTGTGGATCCCAGGAGCTTGGTAATCTGCAGATATGTATCCAGTACTAGAAACAAGGAAAGACTAGAATAGGCACCAAACAAGATAACAAGACAAGACTAGAAGAACTCAGAACCGGAGAAGGACAGAAAGCAGAACCCAGAACCTATTCACAAGACATGAGGGAAACAAGAACAGAACAGGACATGGACAAGGCAGGACAGGACTGTACATGAACTGGGAATACAAGACAAAATAAAACAAGACAAGAGATACAAGGCAAAAAAGAGGAGAAATAAGTACTATATATGTAATAAACATTGGGCATTTAGACATACATAAATGACCAAGATGTATGCAGCCCACCACTGCGCCAAAGTACTCCAATTACGGTGGGTCCTAACTGACTAGTTATGCATGACTAAAAGTACAATAATAAAACACACACAGTACTTACCTGCAAGGAAAGGAGCAGAGGAATGAGACCACTGCTAGCAGGTACACACTGAAAGAAAAGGATAAATAGCGAAGGAATGGGTGTGGCAACAAAAAACAACCATTTAAAGGAATCAAGGAGACTGAGAATTCCAGGAACGGAATAAAGGAACGAACCCAAAAAACCCAACATAAAGAAAACCAGACATGGAACAGAGAACCAGAAAAAACAAGTAAAACGTAACAAGAATTGTAAAAAGATTACTGGATACCAGAAGTCATGGCCAGAAATGAATCGCAGACAGGAACAGGACGTGACACAGAGCCACAGACTCCAATCGATCTACAGGTCATGATTGCCACAGATGCCACAGCAGTTGCAGCTTCTATGGAGAAGGCCTTCTCTAAAACCTTTTCATCTGCACATGAGATAACTAGGCTTCCCAAAAGCGCCTACTATGTGGTGGACTTGGACTCCTCCAAGGAGCGTACCAGACCACCTAAACGGCACTGGAAAGGTGAGAGCTCCAAGGCAAAAAAGACCAAAGTCAGGGCTCCTGACAAGCGCAGAGACCAACCAACGCACGGTCCATAGACCGACGCAGCTCTCCTCTTCGGACGAGGAACAAGAGAGTCCACAAGCACTAACCCAGATGACGATGCTTGGGACTCGGAGTCCAGGTCTGACCCAACCTTTGCACAAGATTCATTTCTGGGTGAGTCCCAGAGTGCAATTGACTCGACCAGCAACACGCCAAGGTTGCAGGATGACTCTGAGGTTTTCCTGGACGCCTTCAGATGTTCTACCCCGGGGCATCCGACACCCCCGCTCTAAGGAATGGGCACCTCCAGACCCAGAGATATTTATTTGATTTCACTCCATAATTTTTATTTCATTTTGTACCATTGCGACCATTTTTTTTTTTTTTATGAATTTCCAAATTTGTTTCATTGTTTTGCCAATAACCTTTCTCCATTAGAGCTATTAACTTTTTAATTTTTTGGGTAGTCAAACACCACCGGAATAGACTTTGAAATATATTTCTAAAAGATTTACATTATGTGTAACATATTTCGTGAAATTTATAGTTGTTTTCCATTTCTTGTTATCTATTTCAAGTGCACATTCTTCTTGCCATCTCTTTATTTGCATCAATTCAGAAAATGTTCTTGTTGATTGATTAAATTATACATGGTCTTCCCCATCTTATTTTCTATTTTTCCTAGGAATATTGCTTCTATATTTTTGTTCTTATTTTTTTTAGACCTCAGTATCTCCTTTTCCAAATAATTTTTTAATCTTAATTATAACATTCATTTGGTGGGAGTTTGAAGTTTTGGTAAAGTTAACTAAAGGGTACAACTTCTTGTTCCTTTATTATCTGATATAAATGAGTTATTCCTTTGTCTTATATCACTTAGAAGAATTCCCATGATATTTAATGGGATATAGGATTTCAGCTCATACATTGTTAAATGTTTTGATTTTACTTTTCTCCAAACAAATTGTAAATCTTTTAAAATAGGGTTATCTATTACAGACTTTACTTCTTTTGACCATAGAATGATTCTCACGTCCTTTTTATTTAGCACATTTTTTTCTAATTCTAACCATTGTGAGGCTTGATTTGTATTGCACCCTTTCACTATATGAGATAACATAATTGATTCATAGATTATTTTTATATTTGGAATACCTAAACCACCTGCTTTCATGGTTCTAGATTATACTTTGAATGCAACTCTCTGTTTATTATAGTTTCAAACAAATTGACTAAATATCTTTTGGTATTCAGATAATACTGTTTTAGGAACTGCTAATGGAATAGATCTGAAAAGAAATGTAAGTTTAGGTAGTATATAATATTTAATTGTTTCGATTCTGCCTATCAATGAAATGGTACATTTTTCCATTCATTTAATTTATTTTAAAATTTATTTAATAAGGATTTATAATTAAATTCAATTATTTCCTTTTTTGAAAAGGCAGTTTTTATCCCTAGATGGTCCATTGTTTTCTCTTTCCATTGAAATGTATATGGTTGTTGAAGATCTTTTTTATTATCCTCCTTTATATTTCCCATTAGAGCTTGGCACTTATCGATATTTCATTTATGGAATGATATTTCAGAAAAGTCCTGTATCTCCTTCATAAGTTCCCTTACTGATAATTATGGATTTTCTAAAGTTAAAAAAATGTCATCAGCGTACATTGATCATTTTAATTCACTTTCTCCAACTCTGAAGCCTTTTATCCCTTGGTTGTGCCTAATTTTTTGAGCAAAAGGCTCCAATTAGAGTACGTATAACATTGGAGGCAATGGGCACCCTTGTCTGGTACCATTATATATTGTGAACCAAGGAGATCTTATTCCTGAACCTAAGATACAGGCATGCGGATCTTTATATAAAACCGATATTGATTTAAAAAATATCTCACCCAAATTAGCTTTCTTTAATGTTTCTTCTAGAAATACCCAACTGACCCTGTCAAAGGCCTTCTCAGCGCCCAATGACAGGGTCAAAAGGGTCCGAAAACATTATATTCATTATTTTTCTTATTTGATCCTCTGCTTTTCTTTTTGGGACTGAACAAAGTGAAAGCAATAGCAGAACATTTTATTAAAGGAACCCTTAAAGCACCATAGCCACTAGAGCCTGCTGGTGCTGGAATGGTTAAGATGCCAGGAGTGACCAGCATCCTCCCTGTGTAAAAAGCCAAGCCATTTAAGAGTGGTTTGAAAGCTTATGTAGGATCTGTCGGCAGACGATTGCTTCTCCTCTTCAGACAGAAGTAACAACACCGAAGAAAGTTCAACCGGTAAGGGCTTCTGTCAATGTTCTCAGCCAATTAGCTGACTCTGCATGGCAGGGCTTAATTTGGGGGGCTAATAGAAGAGGAAGGGCAGAAGACACATGGCAGACCCCAGGTAAGTTGTCAAATCATTATTAAATGTTTTTAGTACTTTAACAGGGAGGTTGTCAGGAACTTCTAGCACCATAATTACTAAAGCTTGTTATAGTGGTTATGGTAATTGGAGTGTTCATTTAATAATTAATGCTACAGTAAAAATGGCATAGCATGTAACTGTACACAAATAGTATTTGATCTTTTTCATTATCTGTTATCTCCTATTATAGGTATGCATTGCATAAACCCTTAACAACATTAGGATATGTCATTATGACTGAGAACTCTTAAGTACCATTAGGAAGTATTGGCATGTCCTAAAATTCAGGTCTGAGCAGGGAAATAATCCCCTCTCCTAATAAGTATAGCCAAGTATTAATTGAAAACTGAAGCTCCACTTTTTCAATTGAGGCTAAATATTAACCCCACACTGACAGATGAGCTCCATGCAGCACTCAAATTGACCACTGCATACAGTCCTATAAAGGATATTTAAATACCCCACTTGAAAATTTGGTGTGAGCAGGATTAAATCCCTGCCCCCCAGCAGGGAAACCTACATACCAATCAATACTTTTGTTGTAGGACCATATTATATGGCCCAGACAGACAGATGAGCTGTATTTATCTGTTATATCTATTTAAATGCCCATAGCTGAGAATGATTGTACTCAACTGCAGTGATTCTCAGACTACAAACTGGAATTTCCTAAGGTCAGAAACGACCCTGACAGGGTCTCCCTGCAAGCAAATATGCTGATTTTGATCAGTGCTATGCTTAGCCAGCTGCCCAGCACCAATCACAGTGTAATCGACAGAGACAGCATGTTTGACTGAAGCATGAGAGGGAGATCTCTCTATGTCAATCTAAAAAACAGCCAGTAGATGGTGGTCACAGACTGCTTTCTATTAGCCTTAATAGGACATCCCTCTGCTGATATCAGTACTGATATTAGTAGAGAGAATCCTTTAAGGGTAGGTTACAATTAATACTCAAAAGGAAACACTTTAACTATTCATCTTATTTAAGTTGCTCTAATACCTGCAGTCCTGCCCCCGTCTTACTCACCAAAACCTAATATTAAACTAAGTAGAAGCCTTGGAATCACAGTTTCAAGCCACGCCTCCAAGGCCTCTGGATAAGATAGTCATGACGTCATACAATGATGTCATGTGGGCATGTGCATGCTGGCATCGCCTCAAAGATGACACAACCCAGGGAGACTCTGAGTTCGAGAAAAGTTGAATAATTTGTTTTATTTTATTTTCTAATTTTTATTTTTGTACAGATGGGGGGGTTATAAGGGGCACCAGGATTGTAACGTTAGGAATACAGATATTTAAAAAAAAAACTATATATAATATATGGGAGAAAGTACGAGAAAACATTAAATTATGATGGAACACTTGGCATAAATTCTAGGTTTTGTTTGGTTTAGAAGTTGTACAATCGCTTATGTCCTTAAAGGATCACTATAGGGTCAGGGAAACAAACATGTATGCCTGACCCTAAAGTGTTAAAACCACCATCTAGCCCCCCTGGGCCCCACATGCCTCCATAAATATAGCAAAATCTTACTGTATTTAAGCTTGAAGCTGTAGATCTGCATGCTGTTTGCCTCAGTAAAACAAGCTGTCTGCTGACAACATCAGAAGTGGTGGCCTGATCCAATCACAATGCTTCACCATAGGATTGGCTGAGACTGACAAGGAGGCAGATCAGGGGCAGAGCCAGCATGATTCAAACACAGCCCTGGCCAATCAGCATCTCCTCATAGAGATGAATTGAATCAATGAATCTCTATGAGTAAAGTTCAGTGTCTGCATTCAGAGGGTGGAGACACTGAATGTTTGGATGCATTTTAGGCAGCCATGACCCAGGAAGGATCTCTAACAAACATCTGAGGAGTGGCCAGTGAAGTTATCACTAGGCTGTAATGTAAACACTGCATTTTCTCTGAAAAGACAGTGTTTACAGCAAAAAGCCTGAAGGTATTGATTCTACACACCAGAACAAATGCAATAGGCTGTAGTTGTTCAGGTGAATATAGTGTCCCTTTAAGGATATAAGCAGCAAAATGTAAGAGAAGCATCAAAAAATAATTACTACCATAGATATTTAAAGATAAATATCAGCAATTAAAGTGTTTATTTTCGCACTAATACACTGGGCATGTTATGTCGGGATAGTTATATTACTCTTGAGACACTGCATACCAGGGGTTTGTAGGATATGTAAAAAAGATCCTGAAGGGAGATATGGGATAAACAAGAGGTGATATTTTTTTTAAATAGATAAAAAAAAAATTGAAAAAATGATAGCCAAAGAGAGCAAAACCAACCCCGAAGCATTCTTTAAGTACATAAATTCTAAAAGACAAAAAAATGAAAGTGTAGGTACACTAAAAAAATGGAATCGGGGTGTTAGTTAATGAAGACAGGGAAAAGGCAGAAATTTTAAATAACTATTTCTCCTCCGTATATACTAAGGAAGAACCCATGGCAAAAGATATGCAAATGATTGCTGCCAAAAACTAATTATAATAATTAGAATAATTATAATTGGTTAACTCAAGACAAGGTGCTGCAGCAACTAAAGAAAGTTAATAAAAAAAAAAAAAGAACCAGGGCCTGACGGTATTCATCCATGACTACTTAAGGAACTAAGTGTAGAAATAAGTGAGCATCTGTTTTTAATCTTTCAAGATTCTTTTCTTTCAGGAAGTGTTCCGGAGGTTTGGAGGAAGGCAGATGTGGTTCTTATATTCAAAAAGGGTATAAAATCCTTGCCTGGAAATTATAGACCTGTGAGCTTAACTTCTGTGGCTGGGAAAATATTTGAAAAGTTATTAAGGGATAATATTCAAGAATTCCTTGAGAAGAACATGGTTATCAGCAAAAATCAGCATGGTTTTATGAAGCAC